GTTGTCTTCAGCCAACTTCATGAAAGAAGGGATTCACAATTCGGTTGTATTTTTATACATATGTTTGTTACCTTAGAACTCCATCATTTATAAACCAATTTGAATTTTTTTTTATTTGAATGGATATACTTTCAAATTGGTCTAGTAAATTATCAAAATTGGGCCAGTAGTTTAGTTTTAGAACAAAGTAGTTATTTGCTAAGACTGAAGTCAATGTTCTTTCGTGGAATAAAATCTTAAATTATTTAAACTAAGTAAATTATTACCATTCCAAATAGTTTAAGAATAAGTGATCATCAATCTGTATCTCTTCACAGATAATAACAATTGTTTAAATTTGTAACTTCAGTGATTTTGGATAGATCTAGAGCACAATTAGAAAGCCAGCTTAAAAATAAAAAGTAAGGATTAACCAAACAAGCCACAGAGAATATTCAACCGTATTATGCAGACGTACAGTTCATATTTCACGTGACGTTATACGTGTACTTAGAGATTTAGTCCACATAATATATCAGCGACAAATAGTCCTAGGTCTCAAGAGACACATTACATATATAGCGGGTAGCCATACGTTACCAAGCAATCGGACAATCTTTTATCCTGTTACTGATTATGTTATATCTTTCGACGGTTATGTCTTTCTTATTGTATTATTTAATGCAAGTATATATGTATGTAATCAATTAAGTGTTGAATAGTAATTATTTATGGTTTAGATGTTTTTTTTTTAGAAATACAAAGTAATTGATGTTCTATCTGATAATAAATTCGTGACCATCTCTAATAAATAATACAATAATTTGACGTTTCAAAACACATCCTCCCCTGCAGCACGTTGCTATTTCTGATTGCTGAGGTGTTACATCTCGGTATCCAATTATTTTTTATAACACAGAGGGCAAACGAGCATGCTACTCACCTGATAGTAAGTGACTATCTTATCCCATGAGCACTCGCGACACCAAAGGAATTGCAGGTGTATTACCAGCTTTTTAGAAAGAAATATGTACTTTTCTTAAAGATTACGATGTCGTATTGATTCAGAAATACTGTTGCTGGAAGCTTATAATAAAATGTGGTTGTGCATAAAATAAAGTACCTTATAAAATGCAGGATGAAAAACTGTTATTCATCGAGATAGTCATCATCATTTATCAGCTTTTAACTGTTCACTGTTGTACGTAAGCCTCCCCTAGGGAGGGTTTACCAATAATTGCCATGCTGGGTAGGCGGATTGGTAACCGCAGTTAGGCTTTGGAGATGTCTTAAGAGGGACGCTGCTGTCCATCCCTTGCCCTTCCTTAGTCTCATTTTACGGCGCCCACGGAAACGGAAGGGGTGGCCTATTCTATGCCGGGACTATACGAGAATTGAGATGTACGATGCTGACATTCTTCCTTGGTCTATTTCAACAGAACTTATTTCATATGTAACCAAATTTAAATGAAATCATCACTCTCTAATCTATTCGTACTTCTATTGGACATCCGTAAATCGTCTGATGGTCGGGTCGGTTCGTTTATCTTTTCATTAAATTCTATTGAAATAAACTCAACTGTTCTTCACAGTATGGTCTCAATATTATTTATTTCTCTCAAATTATATAAAAATATAGTAACAAATGAAATACAAAGTGTACTATGTAAATATTTAATAATATATGGTATATTTATATATAATTAATAACAAAGTTATGCCGTGTCTTCCCATTTGGCCGTTATACCAGACAAAAATATTAAATAAATGGACAATAACTAACAACAGCGCAGTAATTTAGATTCGATTCTGAATAGATATTTGGACGTAAACTTTTCATCTTGAACTTTATGACTTCGAATTGGATTTTTACATTATAGCTATATTTTTGTATTCTGGTTTGTATTATTAAAGAGTATTCTTATTTGCCTTCAGACCATTCACAGTAAATCAAAAATCTTCCACTTTTAGGGAAAAGGGACACACTACAACCGTAGAAATACACACACTAGCAAGCAAATCTTACGTACATAAATTTATAAAGCCTACTTTGGCTCATATATCTACAAGTCCTTATTTAATATTATAAATGTGAAAATGAGTTTGTTTGTTTGAAGACTCCAACCAATTGTCGTAAAATTTGATACGTTGTGTTTTGATTGCAGAAGAATATCGATCTTATTTTACTGGTCCCATCGATACCCAAATGTTATCTCGAACAGATTTTTTGTGGAATAAAATAAAAACAAATAATATTATAAGAATTTTTAACATATATAGTCATTTGTTAATTTATAATGAAAGACTGGATAGATTTCGATAATAGTTTATAAATTAAGACTTTTTCTTTTAAAGTGACAACAAAAAGGAAAGTTTTTTAATTCGCCTGTATACAAATCGATGTCTTAACCTATTCTAAACTGACTAACTTATAATTGCTTTGGCAATCTATGGAATTTACTCCCATATTGATATCATACTCATACTACTATCGTAGTTCGGTTTTTTTATACTGAAAAAAATATTCATAATAATAACTAAATTATTTGCAATAATAGATATTAGAAACTCTACAGTATCGATGCCATGTACAGTTATAAAATATTCTAATCGAAATATTTTAATATATAATTATACCGGCTCTTATACATTTTCTTTGTTTTTGTTGAAAAATTTGTTCTTTTTGCTTATTCTGCAAGGGATCTAAAGTGAAAACTTCCCAATTTTTGGCCCACAAACTTTTCTGAATACCCCATCAGAAATAATCTTAAGATTATATCTATTTGTTATAATAATATAATAATAAATCGGAAGTCTGTTTGGTAATTTTAACGCTTTAATCTCCAAAACTACCAATCGAATTTGAAAAATTCTTTTTGGACTTGATAGCCCATTTCTTGAGGAAGGTATTGAACTATCCAATATTATGCTATCATGGGTAAAACCATGGTATTTATCTAATACTATATATTTAATGAAAAATATAAAAATTATGGACAGTAAATAATAAGTCAATTTTATAAGCATTTTTATTATATTACAAGGAAGTAAAGATAAAATGATCGTGTTTTTCGATTCTGACACGAGTAAAATTACAGTAAATCTTCCTTAAAGGATTGGCTCTTATTAGATAGAGAATCAGTCAAAATAGAATGATTAAAGAATTTCATGTTTTACAGTTTCTTAAAACTACGTCTCAAGTGATATTCATTAGATATTTAAACTAAATACAATAAGAAATTATGTGAGTACAACATGTTGATTCGAAGTCATGACTCATCATCAAGCAGGTGGTCATGATAACCGCAAAATTGCATCATTATATACATGGCATTAACTACCTCGTCGCGAAATAAAATAAAGTTGGTTGATATCTTTGTTTATATAGCCTAATTTTTTTTTATATTACTCAAATAAATTGCCGGCAGTCAATAGATGCAGGTAGAACAAAAACGCCCCTTATGGCAGCCTATGGAGGAAATCTAGGTTCAGCAGTGGACGGATAACAGCTGATATGATATGTATGATGATATTTGTAAGTATTTTGTATAAATTTTATTCTTCAACTGTATCTTAATTTTTTTTTTATTTTCTCTGTATACTAGATATCTCGATTCGCGCACAAGTCAATAAAAAAAAGTCGACCTATTTTTGGCGAACACACTATCTGTATAATCTAAGATTTTATTATAATAACCCACAAGTCGTCACTAAGTACATTATTTAAAGGTTTTCAGCTAAAAAAGAAAAGATTGATTACAAATTGTTTTTTTTTTTTACTGATCCGCCGTTTAAGATTACACTTTTTTTTTATAAATAACAAAACTGGCCGTGCTCACCGCCGCATTAAATCACAGGGTGTGTGAATTTACGTCCAATATTTTTTCTATAGGAAGCGCTTGGGATCTCAAAGTGTTGAGTCATTTTAAAATAGGTAATAAATAATATAATCTTATTCATTATTTCTGCAAAAATTAATGATAAATGTCAAATATTACAAAATATACCATCTTTATCCCTTTCGTGTTTCTGCCATGAAGCACTTGTGTTTATATTGCTGGGTTTCGGTTTGAAGGGAATAGCAATGTCTATTACTAGGTTCAGAGGCTTTACACCTTAGTTCTTAGGAAAGGCAACGCAAAAAATATATCATGAGTGACAAAGTATACTCTGTGACACAGTATATCCATCAGTCACAAATCTGTCATTAATAATATAAGTTGAATTAAGATTGCCAATGGCATGAACTTTAATGTAATATAAATTTTAATTATATAATACTTCAGATTTGCGTATTCATTAATTATATTTGATGATTTTTTTAATTACGTACAATCTTTTATGCGTTACTTTATTCGCATAACCGGGATATGTCCACCAACTGGAATAAAAAGTAGCCCATGTTTTTCTTAATTTTATGTATTAGGTGTATCTAAATTTCATAGTATTTTAATAATTTGTTAAGCCGTTAAGGCGCTAAGAGGTAACCAACAAATAAACAAACTTGCTTTTACATACATTTATAATATTAGAAAGAACTAGTAAGTATAGCAATAAGCATTTTAAATCATACGTGTAGCTTGTTATTATTTTAATCAAATAAAATGAACCCAAACGTATTAATGATATAAATTAACACGGGTTGTTGACAAAAAGATAAATAGATAAGTTGTCGACAAAGTTTGAACACCCGCCGTTTCAAATAAGGGTGGCGCCAAAGTGACGCCAAGTTTTTCTTGCAGGTATGTTGATCTCAAACCACAATGTCTCTCAATTGACATACAATATTAAATTATTTTTTACCACACTTTTTTTCATCTGCTTTAAGTAAACGATTTTTCAATTGAATATGTTAATTTTGATTAGATTGTATTTATAACATTTATTGGAATGAAAACCTTTTTAGTAAATTTAATAAATAAAATACATAATCATAATAGTTGTAAATTTTTGTTAAAAAGAATAATAAATTATACAATTTATTTATTTTAATATAATAGTCTTAATACTTTAGTGGGGCCACGAGGTAACTTGGGAATATAGTATAAATGTATATAATAGGAGATTTAGAGATCCAAATTGAATTCTAAGAAGAAAGAAATAAAGATAACCCAAAAAAAATCTTACTAGCTACACACAAGTTTATTATAATATCGATTAAAGCACATAATATCGTTACTCATTTAGAATTTTTATCCCTAGACACATTTTTCGTAGATTTAACGTGTTTCTTCTGAGAATGTTTAGATCTATTAGTCAACTTGAAAGTTTTGCAGAGTAAAGTTACCTTATCTCCCCCAGACACGTTTTCATCTAAAGTTTTTACTGTATTAGTCAAAAGATATTTATTAGCGAAGTGTGAATTCTTGATATTAATATTATTGACTTTATTATCAATTTTAACGTTATCCATTTTATTTTCTTTTTTGTTATCTTCACAATAGTCTGATAATATTGAACTATTACTATAATTGCATACTACATCCACCCTTATCACTTGAACAGTCTCTGGGCTCGGTACTCGGGATATTGTGAGACTTTTCCGTTTTCCAGACTTATGAAAAGATATTTTTGCATTTTCTATATCAGCATCTGGTAGTGAAACTTCAGTTACTTCTTGTTTCAATACTCTGTTAGTATTAGATTCTTTTTCTTTGCGATCTTTACGGCATTTCTTATCATCAATTTGTTTAGTATCCACTTGTACAGCTTTATTTTCTTTATATTTATTGCCTAAACCTCTAAGAAAGATACTAGATTTACTTGACGATGGTCTGGAACGGTCATTTAATATATATTTTACGTAATCATCGAAATAATAACAAGTAAGTGGCGATGATCTATCATCTTCATTATCAATGTCATTCACTACTTGTTTAACAAACATTCGATGTTTTTTGTTATCAGATAAAGATTTGTATTTAAAACTGGTACGAGGTCTCTTCCTTTGTTGTGTATCTCCTTGAAATTTCAAATTTTGTACAGACAGAAAAATATAGTCGTCGTTATGGATTGGTACACTTCCATAGGTTTCGGCATTCGCTTCTCGATCACAACTGGTACGACAATGAAATCTGAAATTAAACATAATAAAAAATATCTAGAATTAATATGACATATTTATATTGAATATGAAATATTTACTTTTTTTTATAACACAGGACCTTACTTTATATTGTAATAGATATTTCAAGTTGCCTTTTTTGAACAAATAATTGTCAATTTTTTATTTTAACGTTTTATTAAACTCTAATTTAATAAGCAATCAATCACAATTATGAATAGAACATGTAATTGGATACATAATACCCCTAGCTATACCAATCTATTAAAATTACATGATCCACTGGTTAGGTGTCTCTCCCTATAAGGCAAATATATTGGGATACTATTACAACTCTGGCCCGGCACTTTGATATTAGAGGTACCCGGGTAGAGTATTATTCCAAGTTTTTCTTCTTTTATATTTACTATATTACTTATGATTTTGATTATCTTATCGACTCTTATGATAATCTGAGAATAGAAAGAAGTTTATAACAATTTCATACTTATAACGGCATCATATGGGTAACGTAGTTGGATGAATAACAACAACCCTATTGCCATCAATAAATCTTGTCAGGACGACCTTCACGTGGCCTCCCCAGTATTTCACTGTGGAGGCCACGTAGTGGTACGTTGTGATTAATTCCTGGTAAATTCACCACGATGGGCTAACTGACCTACATTTATCGTCACCTAATACCCCTCACTGGTGCCCTGGCAGCTTATACCGATAGCATAGGAAGAGCTACTATTTCATTTCAACAATGGAGGCGTGGCACATACTTCGCACTTGACATTAAATTGACTTAATTTAAGTTGTCACTACCTTTTCAAAACATCTATCCACCTGGGATCCTCTTCATGTGCCGGATCCACCATACGCTTTTGACAGTACCTCCTTGGTTTATCATTGACAGAAACGGCAACAGGTTTTACCTTTGACCTTTCTTGGAGACGTAATCTTGCGCACTTCATGATGAATTACAACACTATATAACCGGAGATAACTGTAATAATCCAATACATCTATTACAAAGTAGTAAATTTTCTGAAAAAGGAAATGCATTCGTTCATTCATTAAATCATCTATTCATCCATCCATTCATTCGTATGTATGATTCATTAACCATCTGTAAAAAATAACGAGGTAAGAGAGCTTTGTGTGTAAACTGAAATTTTTAATAGAAAAAAAAAACAGATTGACTGAATTTTTTTTTCAGTTAGAGTATTCATTTTAGAGTGTTCTCATCTAATAATTCGTTATCGAACTTTTTTGATATAACTCGGTCTCGATCGATTTATATGTATATGACATTATTCTCGGACATTATTTTAATCTAATCTATATATCTGTATATATAATATCTGAATATTATTTATACATTACTTTACAGAAACACAATGATTCTATTTTACAAAGTTTAATGAAATAAAAACTAATTATTAAATTAGGTTATTAATTATAATAATTAAAATAAATAATAATAATTCGTCTACGGTTGACTGGAAGATAAATTTCATATGGTGTTAAGTCCGCTTTTTACACTAGGTGTATTAATTTTTTTCAATATAAGAACGACCTAAATTGGTACTTTATTTTAGTAGAAGAAACTCGACTAGTTTCTATTAAAGTGCAATAAATATATAAGGAAATGTAATTATTCATCATCTTCATATCGTCCGTTAACTGTTCGTTACTGAATAAACCTTCCCCTATTAGGGGGTTTGTAGTAGGAGTTACCACGCTTGGCAACCGCAGTTAGGTTTTTGGTGATGTTTTAAGAGAAACGCTACTGCTCATCCCTCGACCATTAAGTTCCCTTAGTCGCATCTTACGACACTCACGGGAAACGAAGGGGTGGTCCATTCTGTGCCGGGACCACATGGCAAAATATAATACAATGATACAGGAAAAAGGCCTTAATCTCACCAATAGATAACATAACTATTACTTTCCCGGTTATCGACAATGCATATCATATTTCCATCAGATTCAATAATAGTGAATTCACATTTCACGAATACAAAACTCAACCATGATAATTTCAAGGCCCCAAACCGTATTTGTATGAATAAATACAATTAATAACTTATCGTGATTCGATACTATAAATATCAAAATCAACTGCATATTATCATAGAATACACTGACATAACTAGGTAGTATTGTTTACCTCCTTTTATGAGAATGAAGGTTCAAGGACACACACAGAACAGAACCCTCTAAGGGTAACCTTTATTACACTGATACATGTTTCCGAACAGACTAAATATTTATGTTTACTTCCGAATTAGAGTAGGTGTAGGGGAGCACTGAGCTTTTTAAATAGAGCTAATAGTTAACTACATTTGGATTTCTAATGATGTAAGATAGTTTACAAGATAGCTTACAAATCACTTGATGATTTCTATTAATAAAAAATCTATTGTCTAATCATATCGTTAATATATAGGGTAAACTATACTTAATAAACATTTTTTCTTAACGTTTTCGTAGTCTTACTGCAAAGTTTTCTAAATTTAATAGTACATAATGGGAATGTAAAGAAATATACAATTGGCTCGATTCTAAGACGGACAGCAGAATGTCTTATGATCGAGTCGTAATATTTATTTGTATGTATAATAAATCCAAACATGTAATATAAATTATTGAATATTTCTATTTGGCAATTACGTTTGAAATGTATTTTCTGTTGTAATATTAATCAAACTTGGTTACCCTTTCACTAATTTCTTTTAAAACAAACTATAATTATCTAATTGTAGATATAAAGAAAACAAATGAGTCGAGAAAGGAGCTCCCCTGACGACGGCGAATAGATGGCGGAACTTTACAAAGTCAAAGTACCACAAAGGCTAATAATATGCTTCGTAAGTTTTATCCCTAGCTATCTAGGTACAATCCAACTTTAGTGATCTCTAAATCGTCAGGACTTAAATTCTTTTTAAGTGTTTTAAAATCTCAAATTAAATCTTAAGCCTCTCTTGTCGAAAGATTGTAATTTTAAATTGGATGTAAAATTGATATCTTTTATATTTATATATTTATAGTCAACTATAAATTAGTTTGTTCATATAAATAAACGTAGCGTTTATAAAATGTGTTACAGTTAATAATATTGGCGGTAAAATTAAAGAATAATTTAGCATGATTTAATTGCCTTTCAAAGTCATTGTCTAATAAATTAAGTACTAAGCTCAAATTGGCAATTGTACTGAGCCGACACTTCACAAATCGTTTTGTCATTCTTTCTGCGATTCTATTGTTTACTTCTATTCATTTTGAAAGCAATTATGTTTGAAGTTGTTCTTTTAGCTAGTTGTCCCTTTCTTTCGTACGTATAGGCAGCTAGAAATTAGAAAGAGATGGATAATACCCATAATTTTTTTCTGGAAAGTATTGATAAAGGAACTACAATGCCGGCAGGATGGTGTATTTGATCTAGCAACGTAGCGGTCCATATGTTCTTGGGAATGGCTTCGCCAACGATGCAAAAAAAAGTTTTTCTATGTTATTGTACGAGACCGAGTAGTTTTGATCGTATAGTTGGCTAATATTAAACTAAATAAAATGTTTAATATTCGTTATTTATGCGATAGATATACGGTAGATACGATTAAATAAAAAAACAAGAAAATTTATTTTCAAATTTTCACATTTTAAATATTAGTAGGAAGTATCACTACACCAATATTTTTAAGATGGTGCACGCATCATACCTACAAAAACTGATCGAGATAAAATTTGCTGTGGTTATATGATAACTTAATACTTAAGGCAAGAAAATATTGATTCCCACGGGGAACAACTGGTTAGTGAGCAAATTTCATAGAAAACATGTAATGTACATATTGAAATAAAAGTTGGAAACTGGTGGTTAACTAGTTAGACATTTTGGTCTGATGATACGTTCCCATGGGATAATATACAAAATTCACGCGGGCATAGTTATAGTAAACGGTTATTTTTGTTAATAAAAGCAAAAGCTTTATCGTGACTAGACAAAATCAATATCACCAATTTGCATAATTACTGAAACTGAATACAAATTACAAACATATAACGCCATAAGTTACTTGCCCTGACGAGCTATACTTTTCACTTTCAAACAAATGTCGGCGTGTCACGCTAGTGTATACAACATAATTAACCTATTATTTTTTTATTTGGTCAATATAATCCCTATTTTTCTTGCACCTTTTTGTTCGATCTAATTTTATTTACTCCACATAGAAGGCTGTGTGACCTTAATAAAACTAAAACACGAAACGAAGAAAGCAATGTAATAAAATTTTCTAAATAGTCAATAATTTTATAAATCAATAATAATAAACCATTTCACGGTACAGAAATAAATTTCAGCACAGAAATAATCAATATTCATTTGCGAATTAATGTAGTTTAGTGAAACTTAATGTTTTTGTTGCGTAATTCATAGTTTATAGTCTAAAGATAGATTAATAATTTTCATGTAACTTTAACTTCTTCAATTTTTTAATGGAAATTGATATATTTCATTAACAAAAAAAAATATGATAATAACTTCGTAACGTACCAAAATCTATTTGTCAGTGTATAAAACGCACACAAGTGAATATAATAGGCACAGCTGCTAGATATAGGATGCACACATATACACCGTCTTGGTGCATCGCACACGGGCATCTTGGATAACAAAAAATGCATTATTATTATCCTGGAACAAGGACATACCTGTCCCATCGTACCGAAAACTACCTTAATGCCCTTAATTTAAGGACCGAACTGCTTTGAAGTTGTATTATAAACGATTAACTCAGATTTTATTCCTTAACATCAAATGTTTCTTCAAATATAAACTCTCGATATTTGGCAGAGGGTTAAAAATATTTTATGATAAATATATTGAGGAATTCAAGTATAATAATTGTTTAAAAAAAAAAAGTATCTCGCTAGGCGCCAAATGCACGTTGCACCGCGCCTACAAGACTACGATTTCTAGAGAATTTTGTGTATAAATAAAGAAGCAAACATTACATTATATCACATTATGTCATTATATAAACTTGTAGGTGATAATATAACGGATTGTGTAACGTAAGAAGACTTCAACTTGTTATCGGAGGTTTTTTAAGATTGCAATATTAAAATAATTGTGTCATTAAAACATATTAAAATATAAGAGGTAAATATTGCTATAATTGGACATCCTATCGACTTGAGTAATATTTTTAACCGATTTTAAAAAGGAAAATTTTCGTACGAATAATTAGAATTGTTCCTCGATACTGTCATGTGAAATGACTTGGAAGATTCTGTCCGACCAAGTCTGAAAACGGTTAACTGTATTCTTTGTGTACGTTAATGAGTTGCAATCGATATCGTTTTCTTAAGAGAAAGGTAGAAATACTAATTTTGAAAATATATATTTAAAAATTATACTTATATAAAAAATATACACTGAATAATTTATGTCAAGTTTAGGCATTAAAAAATCCGAATCTAATATACGGCGGTGTTAAAAAATACAGCTAGCTGTGTTACCTCGCCGTATTACAACGCTGATCTTCTGGCTGATCAAGAAATGGACCAGACCCTTTACGAATAGTGCCTACTCGATGTGGATATTTCTTTAAAGAAGTTTTTTAATTCGTGGCAAGAGATTGACTACCATTTTTGACATTCAGTGGTTGCCCTAATTCATATAAATTAATCCTGGAATATGGAAACGTGCTTATTATATCCACAGCCACTTGTGGCGTGCTATACTATAATCCCTGCTCGATCCCAGGGGACTAGGGTGATCCTATCTGATTTCTTGGCGTTAAAATGACAGTACCGGTGATTTAAAATAGTATAATGATAAATTGGTGATAAAGAAGAGAGAGTAATGATAGTTTAAGGGCATAATTATGGGATTATTTGTACTCTTCTGGGAATGAACCTTATAATATCCTTACTAGTCAACACCACTTCCGTATATACATATATCCAGTGTGCCTAAAATGTTGGGCCATCCTACGT